TACATCCCGACCAGCTGTGGCAGGGCCCCCAAGGGTGTCCTCATTCCAATCCCTGGAACCTTCGAATATGTTCTCTTTCCCGGCTGAAGGGACTTTGCACGTTCAGACTGGAGATCCACTCTTCACTCATTTCCCCTCTGGGGATCCTCTCAGTTTTCCACGGGTGAACGCTGAACAAGCCTCCACATTTTATTTTGTGTGAAGATGATCAGGAAAAATTATGTGAATCACCGTGGAGGAAAGACATCAGAGGGACTTCTGTTCCAGATGGTGGAAATCATGCTGAAGTTTCTATGGTGTGTGCAGGACAAGCAATGTGGTTTAAGACTGAAAAACAAAACAAAGCCTCAAAATAGCAGAGGTTTATTTTTAAGACCATTGTATCTGACATAATTAGCAGTGAGAAAAATTCATAAACTGTCAGTGTCTCTTACACTAGCCATATTTCCAACTTTCCACAATGATCTAAGATATGTTTCATGAACCTCATGTGATAAAGCCAAACATTCCTGTGGAAGTAGAACAATTTTAAGATATTATATTTCTACCTTGAGTGGGAGGCTATACAGTGCAGTGTGTCATGACACAGAACTGAAATGTGTCAAATGTAATCACATGTAAAACTTTACTTCAGTGAGAGTAGTTAGTTCACCAAAGTTCTTTGTTTAGTTAACCAGGTCATAAATTCAGTTTTTAAAAATAATATAGAAGGAATTTCAACATGTTATGTGAGTTTATAATTTCCTCATAATTGTGCTTTCATTAAAGTTGACACACTTCTTTAAGAAGGTTGATATTTCTGACTTTATATTTACCCTTTTTACCAATTGGCTCTTCTCTCTGGGTCTATGTTCTGTCTTTTATTTTCATGGTCTTTCCTCTTATACTTCATTTCGCTAATTCCTACTCATATCGTCTTCTGAAATTCATGGCTCTTTCTTCTCTCTCTTTATCTCTCAAGAACACATAGAAAGTAGATGGATAAATGATGGTAGAGAGACAGCTGTCCGGTGCCCATGGTGAACCAACCAGCTGTGGAGGGGAGCGGCTTTGGGGCCAGCGGAGTTAAGCTCTGCCAGTCGTGACTGTCCCTTAAGCAGCACAGCTTTCCTTAGAAAGGGCTGTGTCTGCAGAAGGCACTGTTTTAACACATTCCTTACCTTCATCTCAATCTCTTTTTGTGTGTTGTTCCTTAATTTACTGGTGCTTTCCCCACAACTCCCTCTTTTTAGTCTTTAAAATTTCCCTGGGTAACCTCACAGCTTCAACAGCACTTGCTCTATCTCCAGCCCAAGTGACTTAAATGAACCCAGACTCGAGATTGCACATGAGTGCTAAACTCAACATATTCCAAAAGAAACCCTTATTTTACATCTCCATGATGCAAATTGTCCCTCATCCTGTGTATGTTCTGTCAGGACTATGGGATGCATACAAATATCTGTGTTCTTTGTATATAATATTGTACATGGTAAAAATTTACTTATTAGATTTTCCCCACCATGACCAAACTTACCTTACTTGAACATAAACCCAATTAGTTAAGACCAGTTCTTAAATAAGAAATATATAAAGAGGTATAGAGAAAAGCAAGTCTTCCTGTCATTTGTGATCTGCGTACTCCAGCTCTTTCTCATGTTAAACACTCTTCCCAATACCAGCTGCATCCTAACAGAAATATCCATCATATAAATATATATGCATGCATGGTTTTAAAAAATTTATATCCTCCAGTGCATACTGTTCTCTTTTTAATTTTTGGAAAAAGAGAAGTTTCCCATTCCCTACTACCCTTTTTAATTTAATCATCTTGTGAGAACAAGTTACATTTTGCTGAATGTGTTCCTCAGCATGTAAACACTATTCATGGCTGAGTGATGCTCTAGCTTGTGACTATGTTCCTGCACAATTTTATGTACTTCCTGAAGTTAGTAATTAGTTTGCCTTTTATCTCTTTCCTTAGTTTTTCATATACATATTTGCTATTTTTTAAAAAGATTTTATCGATTATTTATTTTCAGAGAGTTGTGAGGGGAAGATAGGAGAAAGAGAAGGAGAGAAACATTAATGTGAGAGAGAAATATCAATTGGTTGCCTCTCGCACGTACCCTGAACAGGACCAAACCAGCAACCCGGGCATGTGCTCTGACCAGGAATGGAACTGGAGACATTTTACTGTGCATGATGACATCAGATCAACTGAGCCATACTGGTCAGGGCACATATTGCCATTTTAATACCAAACTGTTGTCTATCGTGGAGATTTCTCAGTACAGGCATCATGCATTGTATCGATCCCATCTCGTGAAACAAAGTGCACAGCCGACAGCCTGAGCTCTCTCTTTACCTTCTTCTGGGATCTCCTTTGCCCCTGCATCGTGTTGGGCCCCCTGCTTTTGGCTTCTGGAGCACACATCTTCTTTCTTGGTTTCTTTTTGGAACATGCCCTTTGGTGATTTTTTTTTGAGAAAGAGTGCATGGAAAATCTCAAATGCTTGAGATGGTGTTTGTCTGAAAATGGCATTGCTCTACTTGCTCATTATTAATACTTTGCTTGCAAATAGAATTCCAGGTTGAAGGGCAGATTATATTTTCAAAAGTGGCTGCCAAATATCTTTCATCTAACATGCTCTTTGATGGTGTGACCTTTTCACCCTCCCATTGCAATGCATGTGCCTTTCCCTTGAACTAGGATAGCTAGAGAGTTGCTTATAATCAATAAAATGTGGTAGAAGTGATGTTGTGGGAACTTTGAAGCGAGTTTAGAAAAAGCAATGTTGCTTCCACCTTGTTTATGGGAACACTTGTTTGTGAAACCTTAGTTGCAGTGTAAGAGTCTGGCCACCCCAGCCCTTTCTGGGTAGCTCAGCTGGCCAGGGCATCATCCTGATACGCCAAGGTTGTGGGTTCTATCCCTGGTAAGGGCACATACAAGAATCAATGAACAAATCCATAAATAAGTGGAACAACAAATCAATCTCTCTCTCTCAAAATCAATCAATAATTTTTTTAAAGAGCCTGACTGCCTTAAACACCATTATCTAGGGAAACTCAGAGCAAATGTAAAAGCCACAGAAATGCTTCTGTCAACAGCCCCAGCTGAGAGTCCTGCTGACAGTCAGCATCAAATATTAAAGATGTGAGTGGACAAGACTTCAGATGACACCAATCCCTCTTCTGAGTTATCTCTAGCTGTTGAGTCTTCCCAGCTGAAGTTGCAGATGTTATGACAAAAACAAGGCATTTCTACTGTGCCCTGGCCAATTTTCTGACCTACAAAATCAAAGCGCATAATCAAATTGTTTTTTTTAAGCCAGTAAATTTTGGGAGATTTGTTGCATGACACTAACAATTGGAAGAGTATGTGACTTTTACATTTGTTTTTCTGGAAGCTTTTAGGGTTTGTATTTGTGTTCAGCATCCTGAAAGTTTATGATGGTCATCTTACCCACTCTACTGTGTATATTATCAATCTGAAAAAATTCATATCTTTCAGTTCTTGGAAATTTTCTCCAATTGCATCAGCAGGGATACTTTTTCCCTCTATTCTCCTTCTCAGATTTTACTATTTCGATATCAGACCTCCTGGGCTAATCCTAACTTTCTCATTTCTTACTTTATTCTTTTATTTTCCAGCTTTTAATCTTTCTATTCTAATTTCTGGAATATTTCCTAGACTTTGTTTTCTCAATACTCACCATAGTTTTAATTTCCAAGACATTTCTTTTTCCAGCCTCCTATTCTTTCTAAAAATATAGATAACCTTTTTTTTGTTGTTGTTTGCTTGATTTCTTTTTCTTCTACTTGGATAATCTGTTGCCTTTTATCTGTTTGGCCTTATTCTGTCATGTCGGCTTTCATCCGTGGTTGTTCCTCATGATGCAGAATATGGCACTAAAAACGGGGAGGAGTAGTTGACTGTGGGCTTACTGTTCAATATCCTGGGTGGGACATTTCACTGGGGAGATTCAGGCTCATTATTTTTATCTGTAGGGGTGGGGGTGGAAGAAGAGGCTGATCAGATTCTAAGAGAGTGATTATCCAGCTTTCTGTTTTCGTGAAAAAGTCTACCTGTCAGCATTTCAGGAGTCAAGTAGAGAGGGAGGTGGAGTGGTGCTTCTACTAGTCACTTTTACTCTTTATTTATGCAGGCTGTTTCTTCTGAACACAAACCTGTAGCCTCTGGGGGCAGAGGACAATTGTTTGACTGCATCTAATGGACCTGGGGTCCAACTTAATCATCCAGTTTTGCCCTGTCTTTCCCCCATAGAGGCACCTGATGTCCTCAATCCCTATGCTCTTAAGGGTTTTTAATATGGATTTTATTTACTCGCTTTCCCTACCCGCCTTAAAATTCAGCTTTTAGAATTAAGTGTTGCTTCTGCTAGATCAGTCTTCACTTAGTCATCTTTCTTATGAGGAGGGGACTCAGCAACACCAGAATTATCTTCTGTCAGCTTCCCCGGCTACATGAGTGGACTAGGGGCCCATCTGTACCAGTGCACCAGCTGGCATTGTTGTGAGAGGCTGCATTTAGCTTCAGTGAATTTTTTTAAGACTCTCAATGTGTTTGTCCATTTCATGATGGGTGATTTATGAGCACACCTGCCTACACTGTTCTGACTGCCCGGCAGTTTTTGACCATAAACAGAACGACTCCATGCCCCACCCTCCCTACTCCCCTAATCTCGCCCTGACTGACTTTCTGTTTCCCCAGATGAAAAAAGTCCTCTAAGGGAAACGTTTTGCTGATGTGGAAGAGGTGAAAAAAAAATCAGCAGAAACACTAAAGGGCATCGAAATTGAAGAGTTCAAAAACAGTTTTGAGCGGTGAAAAAACATCTCGATAGGTGTATTGTATCATATGGAGAGTACTCTGAAGTTGACTGAAGTTTAAACATGTGAGAATAAATGCACAATTTTTATAAATAAATTCTGGGGTTTTTTTGTGTCTCTCTTCATATAGCCTCTGAATGAATGAATGAATGAATGAATGACTTATTTGGTTCACTGTTCCTGGAAGTACTGCAATAGCAGCTCGATGTGCAGAGTGGATGGAGCAAGCTCCTATTCCATCTCCCAGCTCCAAAAATCCACTTAGTATAATGTCTTCAGATAGAGGACAGACTAGATATTAAACTAAGAACAAATACTACACTTGATCTTAGCCGAAAGGCCAAGAAGTGATGAGTTATTTTTTTAATAAGAGGGGAAAGGAGAGGAAAAGAAAGGGACAGAAACATCGATGGAAGAGAGAAACATTGATCAGTTGCCTCTCACACATGCCCTGATGGGGGATGGAACCTGAAACCTAGGCATGTGCCCTGACCTGGAATTGAACTGGTGACCTTTTACTTTGCGAGATGACACCAAAACAACTTAGCCACACCAGTCAACACCAGCCTCTGAAATTTTGAGACTGTTACTTTCTTTCCTTTTCCCTTTGTCCTTGGGTATTGTGCTTTTTAAAACGGGGGGACCAGAGGGGAGAGGGAAGGGAAGAAAGGGAGGGAGAGGGGGGGGGGCGGGGGGGAGGGAGAAGAAGCTCTTTGATATGATTTTAATGGAATCCAGGGAAGCAAAGTAAACGTATGTTCTCAATCTACTGCCTTTACTGTCAGATTAAAATGTGTACATCAGCAGAATTTCTGGAGTAAGATTTAGACTTTGTTAGCCAGTCTAGGCATGTCTTATTTAAGTCATTTTCTTGTGAGATTGTTGTGGGTTTTTATGCTGTACTTCAATTTAGTTCTAGGCAAAATATTCAAATTAGTAACAGCCTCTGAGGGAAAAAATTGCAATAAATATACATGTTGACTATAAGAGAGATTTTGATTTAAGAAAAACTGAAGTGTAAAATACTACAAATCTTTGAATTGGGAACTATAGTGAACAAATTTTAAAAAGAGAATTTTTAGCAATAAAAGAAAGAGAGAAAATGATGTGTTATGTACTACATTAACAGGTTGTCTTTTAATAGTAAGAGAAAAATGAGCAATTGTGGAGTTAAATAAAACTTTAAAGTTTTACCTCAGGTCAAACAAAATTTTGTTCCATTTTGATTTCTTTATTAATAACTCAAAGTGTGAGTTTGGCATTTTCATCCTGAATTTCATCTGGTAAACATTTGCATTTTATTGCTATTAATTATCAAGAAGTTAAAAATGATGACATGTTATGAAAACTTCCAGAGTGTCTTTTATAATCTTTAACTGAGAATTTATTTTTGAGTTACTGTACATGTGGCAATAAAAAGATAAAATTCCAAGAGCTTTGTTGTACAAGAAAAAGGGCATGTGAGGGCATATCCTCTGGACAGAGTGAGGGAAAGCATCCAACTTGGCAAAGTTAATTCTTACAGGATTTCATTTCACAGTGACTATTTAAAATGTTCCTTTTCTTGGGAGCGGGTGGGGAAGAAGTGGTCCATATGGCTGCCAACTAAATCTTTTTCTAGATTTTTAAGAGACCTGATTTTTTTTAAAGTAGGATTGTTTTGTTTTGTTTTTACATTTCTACTGTGACTGTGCTCTGAGCCATTAATTCCGCTGATCGGACATCTATGACTTAGCATGGCTAGCACCAAGTGTGATTGTGACCATGGATCCTGGAGTTGACGTTCTCCTTTCTCCTTCTCCACCTCCATTTCCTGATCCGTTCCTGTTCTTGGTTTCTAACTTCCTGCCTGGTTTGCAGCCTGGGATTCAACACTCACTTCTCAAATCCCTTTGTGTTAACCCTTGGCCGTGCTCCTTGGAATGGACAAACGGATCTGCCTGATTCAGTCCGGCCACCGAAACTCCAACTCAGGATTCCCCACGTTGCCTTTGTGTTGCCAGGTTTTGACCTGACCCTGCCATCCAACTCAAAACATGCTGGCACCAGAGATAAAGAACAGTTTGTTTTGCAGGGTAATTTATTATATACTGGGCGACATCTCTTAAGCATAAATGTTAGTTACATTTTATGTAGAATCATGAGCCTGTGATGAGATCAGTGGTACTTAAGATACTGTGTTCTCTTTGTGAATGAATTATTTTAATTTGAGAAAACATTAATTCGATGTTAACCTTAAAGTCTTTAAGATATGAAAATGTCTTAGGAAGGGCCACCTATACACACATAACACACACACAATTTAAAGAAGCTGAAAAATATTATTACAGGGTTTTCCTGCTCTTTTGCCATTTTGCTGGTTTAACCAAAATTTGCCTCTTTAGATAAAACATAAGGCATATTTGTTGCTGAGATGTCCTTTTTTTTCATGGAAAAAGTGGTTTTTTTTATAATTTAAGAAATTTTATTCTTGCTGTTTAAATATTTATTGACCTGCCTTCTGGTAATATAGAGTTTTAAGTTATATCTAAAACCTATGGTCAAACCCATAATTATGAGGATAAAAACTGGGAATTTTAGTCTTGGCTGTGATTCAAACAAGTTGTGATATTTTAGACAAGTTGATAATTTCATCTGGCATAATGGCTAAGAGGATATGGTTATATTCTTTCTAAGGACTTCTTTAACTTTATGGTTAATCCATATCTATGAATCAGACTAATGATTTCTTAATCTTTATTTCTAACTCCTGCCCCAGGCCTAACTTTTAAGAATTGTATAAACCTTCATAGCAACAAACTTGAAAAATGTATCTTGGGCTTCTGGCAGGGGGAGGGGAAGGAATAATTTATAAACACACAAGAACAACTCTCTTTGTCTTAGCAAGCTCTGCCCTCAGGAAAAACTAGTTGCCCAGAGCTCAGTCTTTGGGGGTTTTATCAGAGCCTTACTGACCTGGGGGAAGGGAAATACCCAACTAGAGCCCATTCTAGCCATCCTGTCCCATCTCAGGGGTCTGGAGAAACTGAGAAACAAATGTGAAGTTCATAGTCCAGAGTCACAGGCTCACTAAAAGACTGAGACATAATCATAGGGTAATAGAATGTGTCCCCTTCCTCTTCACCACATTAGTAAAGGCTTACTGATAGCATTTTATTTTGCCCAGCACATTATGTCTGGCTATCAAGAAAAGACATACCTAAAGGCAAAAGGCACAACTTAAAGACGTGGAGCAAGCATCAGAGCCAGACTCAAATTGGTAGAAATGCTCCTATTGTCAGACCAGGAATTTTTTTTTAAAAACTATGATTAATATGCTAAGGGTTCCAATGGATAAAAAAAGACAGTATGAAAAAACAGAGGAGGGCAATGTAAACAGAGAGATGAAAATTCTGAGAAAGAACCAAAAAAGAAATGCTAAAGATAAAGAAACAAAGATGGGCTTCAATGGGCTTATTAGTAGACTAAACATGGCCAAAGAAAGAATCTCGGAGTTTGAGGCTATCTCAACAGAAACCTTCAAAACTGAAAAGCAAGGAGAACAGAGAATGAAAAAACAGAGCATCCAAGAATTGTAGGATAACTTAAAAAAGTGGGAAAGTAAGTATAGTGCGAATATCAGCAGGAGAAGAAAGAGAGAAAGGAACAGAAGATGTAAAACAATGACTGAGAATTTCCCCAAATTAATGTCAGTCACCAAACCGTCCCTTCAGGAAGTTCAGAGAATATCAAGCAGGCTAAATGCCCTCAAAAACCTACACCCGGGTGTATCATTTTCAAACTACAAAAAATAAAAGGTAAAGAAAAAAAATCCCAAAAGAAACCAGAGGGAAAAACACCTTATCTATGGAGAAACAAAATAAGAATTACTTTAGACTTCAGGGGCGGGTATTCAAAGTGTGGAGAGAAGAAATTGACCAACCTAGAAATTGCGAAGCACATCCTGCCCCCTGGGAAATCATCCTTCAAAAATGAAGATAATGATTTTTCTTCAGACAAACAAAAAAAGGAAACTTGTTGCCAGTAGACCAGCCTTGGAAGAAATGTTAAAGAAGTTCTTTAGACAGAAGGTAACCGACATGATACTTTGTAACTGCATTAGTCAGCTGTTGAGCGCCAGTTGTTTGTAGAAGAGTTAGTGGTCTTGGGCAATCCCTTATCCAAGGGCTAGTCTCCTCATGAGACTCAGCTTGACAGGGGACTCAAGTGTTGGAAAATTTTAGTGAATAGTTAATAAACCTGGTAGGTAATACATACATTAAAGTTATTGTTTCAGGAACTGCAGGTACAGTGGGTGGCCTACCGCTCCCACCCACCACTCCTGGGAGAGGACCTCCTGGGACATAGCTGGAGAGATCCGAGTGGTGTGGAGAGACTGTGGAGATGGAACAGGCACGAGTGGCCTCACATTCACGTGTGTTGGATAAAAATCAGGAAGGATACATTTGTGGTGAGCAATCCCAGCCCCAACCCAGACCACACCCAGGGTTCCAGCACCAGGAAGATAAATCTCTCTAATCTCTCAAGGTAAAAACCAGTGGGAGTTGGGGCAGTGGAGGAAACTGCTAAATATTTAGGAAGCTGTGCTAAAAGGGTCTACATAATCTTAAAATGTGTGCAAACCCACCCACTCTGGGATGCAACACCCGGGCAACAGCTGGAAGGGCGCCAGTCTGTATGGGGAGTGGGTGAAGTGACTGGAAATGGGGCAAGTGCTGGACAAACCTCCCAAAGCCAGGCAGCATGGCCCAGTCCCCTCTCTGAGCCCTCCCCACACACAGAGCCACAAAGTGGTGAAGTGGGTTGCCCAACCCTGGTGATCACCTAAGGTTTTGCCCACACAATTTTCAGGTGCCTTTTTGACAATAGGTCATGCTCCTAAGATAGGGAGTCAAAGCAGCTCTACTTAATACACAGAAACAAACACAGGGAAGCCACCAAATTGGGGAGACAAAGAAATATGGCCCAAATGAAGTAACAGAACAAAACCCCAGAAAAAGAACTAAAAAGAACAGAGATTGCCAACCTGTCAGATGCAGAGTTCAAAACACTGGTGATTAGGATGCTCCAAGAACTTGTTGAGTATGGCAACAACATAAAGGAGGAAATGAAGGTTACATTAAGTGAAATAAGAAAAATCTATAGGAAACCAACAGTGAAAGGATAGAAATTGAGATTCAAATCAATGATTTGGAACATAAGGAAGAAATAAACATTCAACCAGAACAGAAAGACAAAACAAGAATTCAAAAAAAAATGAGGGTAGTATAAGAAGACTCTGGGATATCTCCAAACTGCCAACATCCAAATCATAGGGATGAAAGACAGAGAAGAGGAAGAGCAAGAAATGGA